AGCAGGGATTTTCAAAGAGGAGAAAATCACAAAAAATCTGAAGTAACCTGCTATGAATGCAACAAACCTGGACACTACACGCAGCCCAGATTAGAATATGAACATGCCGCCCACACTGATAGAAAGTTGAACACGCAGCCCAAACTTTGAATTTTCTGAACACGCAGCCCAGATTAGAATGGGAACACGCAGCCCCCACTGATAGAAAGTTGAACACGCAGCCCAAACTTTGAATTTTCTGAACACGCAGCCCAGATTAAATAGGGAACACGCAGCCCCCACTGATAGAAAGTTGAACACGCAGCCCAAACTTTAAATTTTCTGAACACGCAGCCAAGATTAAATTTGCATGTAGCTTATTTCACTTCATCGGCACACAGCCCATTCCATTCCATTGGCACGCAGCCTAGTTAAAATCATTGGCACACAGCCCATTTCATCTCATTATTGACACATGTATTCATTCTGAATGTAGGTTGGTTCCCGCAGCGTATGGGGGTATGGTTCCACCGCCGCGCGGGACTGGTACGCTGAGCTCCCGGAGGGTGTCCGAGATTTGATAGACTTGGCAGGGTTCGGGCCCTTCTGCGTTGGGTTGTCACGTTGTTCCGCCAGGAGGACTCTGATGGCAGCCTTGGTAGAGAGATGGTGGGACACCACCAACTCCTTTCATTTCTCTGCCACCGGAGACGTGACCATGACGCCTCTAGACTTCGCTGTATTGACTGGCTTGGACATAGGAGGTTGGCCTATCCCCTATGATGAGGATATGGGAGAGTGGAAGGCCACTTGGATGTATTTATTGGGGGCTCGCCCGCCTGTTGACTGGGTTTCTGGGAGAGTCCGATACACTTGGTTCTCTTCCCATTTCCGGCGGGCGGAGATGGTGCCCGAGACTCCTGAGGAGACGGAGCAGTACGCCCGTGGTTTCCTTATGTTCCTCTTCGGGACTACCCTGTTCGCCGATAGAGGGAACACAGTCGGGCTATACCTGCTGAGCGCTCTGGTTGACCTATCACAGGTCCGTCGATATGACTGGGGTGGTACCGGCCTGGCTACCCTTTACTTTTATATGAGCGCGACCTCCCGCGGGCGGAGAGATTTACTTGGCGGCTACTGGAGAGCCTGGGAGGTATTTTTCTGTCCCCTTGATTTACATTTCTGCTCTTCATTACTTGTACATTGCACACACAGCGCACTTTTACAGTCTGTATTTTGCTCTCAGCATTTCATACTTACATTCTGCACTGCTTTTCTCAGCTATGGGTCTATGTATACTTCCCAGCATTATCCCCAGAGTTGGAGGTGGCAGGGCTTCCCATGACCCCATACTCACTGGTATTCGAGGGCCCGCACTGGCCGAGACCCCGAGAGACCCTCATTTACCTGCGACAGTACTTTGACACTGTGCGGCATTCGGAGGTACTTCAGAACTTTCAGTTCCTTTCATTTTCATCTTTGATTTGCTCTGTATATCCCCGATTTCTGATTGGTTTATGCATTTATCATCCGCAGATCTCATGGCAGCCTTGGGCGCCCCTGGGTGATGGTCTCCGACTTCAGTATACCGGAGGGTCAGACATCTCCCAGTATAGGGTCCTGCTCGAAGGGCCGGTTGGCAGGGCATGGTTCCTGGGGGAACGCTTTCTGTGTCAGGTATGGGGGTATCTTTCTCAGGATCCTCCCGCAGTACCCCCAGTCAGTATGCGGACTGCTGACAGGCTCTCTTACTCGGAGGTAGTCGGCGCTATGCTGGGTAGCGATGCTTTACTATATCTTGAGGAGGGGGACTACGCCACTTACCGTCACATATATTTGATGCCTCCATTGACGGGAGCTCGCACCCCGATGACGAGGCCTGCCGGTATGTCATCCTCGGGCCAGGCTCGGGCTCGGGCTGCAGACGCCCCTTCTACTAGTAGGGCTGGTACATCTAGAGGTGGGGGTAGACCGGTTCCTCCGATTCCGTCGACTTATCCTCATCCTGGATGGCCAGATATGCCGACTGAGTTGATGGCGTGGCAGTATGGGGCTATCTCTCCGACCCCGATCCCGCTAGAGCCTCCGATGCCCAGTGATCGATACGCCATTGATCCTGACTCACCGCTGGTATGCTCCACTGTTTTACATTCATCATTCAGATGTTTAGACATTCTTTTGCTCACTGATGATTATGAGCTCATATTTGCAGCCACCGCGAGGGTACATGGAGGAGGTGGTTGGACTGGTGGCCACACTCGAAGGCATGGTCCTGCATAGGGAGGCACAGTTGTCTGTCGCGGGCATTCAGGTACCTTTCAGTTTTCTGGCATTTATCATACTTCTGATGACATGCTGATTTCTACTACATCGATAGACTACTTGTGTAGAGCACATCTGACACACACCCCACTTGGACACTGCATTTACATGCACCCACTTCACATAGCCTTTGCTTGTATCTGCATCTGATGTATATACTGATGTATTTGAATTGAACTTTTTGTTTTCAGATGCCTTCATGGTCCAGTCAGCCGCAGGCCAGGCCACCTGGGCCTCCTTGGGGAGCTGGGCCATCTGGGCCTTTTCAGGGAGTTGGGTCACCCGGGCCTTTTCAGGGGGCGAGGCCATCTCGGCCTTTCCGAGGAGCCGAGCCATCTAGACCTTTTCGAGGAGC